GAACTAGATGGTGCCCGGCTATTACTATCAACCACTTGGAAGAGGATCTATGTAGGAGATCCTGGATAGACAGGAGAACAGTGTGGAACAAAACTCAAAATCATTTGGGGAAAAAAAGTGGGGGGGGGGGACCAGGTTTGCTGGCTCGATGGAGCCTGGTGGAACCACTGAAACTATGGCCTCTAGCTGCCCTTCAGGTCTGGAATTGAACGCACGCCTGTGGTTTCCAGCCAAACAGTGAACAGGCATATGAGTTGAACATTTACCTGAGGTAGGTACACTCCTTGGAGAGAGCAATCATGGGAGAAGGAAGGGCTGCTTATACACAGGGAGATAGCTCAAGGGGCAGGATGCATGGAAGGATGGATACAGGGAAGGGGTAACTGTCGGGAGGAAGTGGGAGGGGAGATGTTGCATTGTGGTAAATTGTGGTCAATGTCATGAGACAAAGTGTATGTGAATTGCTGTATGGAAAGTGTATTTGCTCTGTAAATTTTCACCCAAATCACAATAAAAAGAAAGTTTTTTCTGGGTTTTTTTTTTTAAAAAATAATGCTGTAACATATGCCACATTTATTTAGATAGTACTATAATGTAAAGGCAGCCAGGTTTTGGACTTAAACAACTACATGTTCAGTTTTTAGTTGATTGCTCTATTAAAAAGCTTGTACCTTGGGCAAGTTACTAATCTCTTTTCTCATCTTTAAAATGAGATTGTATTTATAAAATTGTTTGGAGGATCCAATACTTACGTAGAGCTCTTAAATAGTGCATTAGTATTTATATCCAATGCCCCATTGACAAGTCTATCCAGCCCCTTTTTATAGTTACAAGTTGATTCATACGCTTTTACTCAGAGAGAGAAACACAACTTTTTATCCTTATAATTGCAAGCTTAGTGCTGCTTATTGTTATTTGGAATCATCAATTGTTTGTGCTTTTTCCCTAGTCAAAGTAAACAAATACGGAGATACTTGGGATGAGTGAAAAATGACATCAGTGGACCTACTGAAGGAGTTTCAATATCCAGCTTCATCTAGGTGGTCATGAATATCTGCATGCTCTGAGTTCAGCAGCAGTCCTTATAAACATTTAAAACTAGAGTCTTGTGGTTTGGCTTATTTTATCTGTGCTTTAAAAAAAAAAAAAAAACAGATTTCAATGTTACTATTGTGTAAATGTACTCACCTTGGGGAATGATATGAATGATGTTATTATACCAAGATCGTATACAGTTGTGAAATTGTTTTAAAAGTTATAGGGCAAAGATAGTCTTATAAAACTATCAAGAGATGTAATGCCCTGAAATCAGCATACAGGCATACCTCGTTTTATTGGGCTTTGCTTTGTTGGTTTTGAGGATATTGCATTGTTTTTACAAATTGGAGGTTTGTGGCAACCCTGCATCAAGCAAGTCTATTGGTGCCATTTTCCAAAGAGCATGTGCTTGCTTCGTGTCTTTGTGTCACATTTTGGTAATTCTCACAATATTTCAGACTTCTTCATAAGGTTATTGCACACTTAATAGACTGCAATCTAGTATAAATGTAACTTTTATAGGCACTGGGAAAACAAAAAATTTGTGTGACTTGCTTTATTGCGATATTTACTTTATTGAGTGGTGTTGAACTGAACCTGCAGTATCTTCGAGGTATGCCTGTATATGAAAATAAATGATACCTGCATGTAAACTTGGGGTGGGTGGGGGGAGCAATTATAATCATAAGTGTTAAGCTTCACATCAAAAAATTATAAAAACTCTTTCTCCAGTGTTTATTTTAATGTTTACTTTAAATAAATGTAAAGGAACATGCAGTGGCTCTCATCTCCATTTATCTTATGGTTTTTCTTGTTAATTGTTAATTTTAAGTACAGTTATAAGTAATAGTGTTTCATGGTGATAGAAAATAGTCATTTATCTCTGAATACTAAAACAGTAATATGAAGATAAATCAATAAACCATTAAATACTTTTTAAAAAAAAAGTAAATGGACAAGTTCAAAAGTTTTGCAAATTCCAGGGGAATGAAAGTTTAGTGTACATACTTTTTTTTCAGTATTGACCTGATGTTTGTTTCTGTCTGCTTCAAGTGAGTTGGAAATGAATTTGTGATCTATCTTAATTCTGATTATTCATAATACATTTCTGCGAGAAACATCCCAGTTAGCTTTTGCTGCAAATCATCCTAAAACTTAGTGGCTTAAAACAACCATCTTTATTATCTCTTGTTTACTGTGGAAATTAAGGAAAGATTAAACTGAATGATTCTGTCTCTGGTCTCAGGTTTGTAGTCAGATGGTTACTAGAGCTAGAACAGCAAAGAACTAGGGTAGCGGGGCCTGGTCAGAACATACCTTTCTTCATTTGGCTTTAGAACCTCACTGTACCATGCCTCTCTATGGGTTACTTTGAATTTCCTCACAGTATCAGATGTTCAGGCTGATCAGAATGTTTACTTAGGGCTCTAGTGCAAGTGTTCCATTATCTTTTACATATGACCTAGCCTAAAGTATGCCTGACCCAAGCCATGGTATTTTCAGTAGCCTCATATGTATGTGAAAGCTAGACAATGAATAAGGAAGACCAGAGAAGAATTAACGCATTTTAATTGTGTTGGTGAACAATATTGACTATATCATATTCTTCAGAATAACAAACAAATCTATCTTGGAAGAAGTACAGTTGGAATGTTTCTTAGAAGTGAAACTATCCAGACTTTGTCTTTTGTACTTTAATCATGTTGCAGAAGGGACCAGTCCTTGGAGAAAGAGATCATGCTTGGTAAAGTAGAGGGTCAGTGAAAAAGGGGAAGACCCCCCCCCCCCGTAGTAGATAGGGTGGTGTCTCAACTTGATTGGGCCATGATTTTGAGTGGCTTGGCAACTGGATATAGTTATGCCCCATGATGAGACTGGATGTGGAAACTCCATAGTGGAAAATGCTGTGAGCAGCCAATTAGTTGGCTTTGTGGTGTGGCCTGCTTCCAGTATATATAGAGAAGCTTTGAGAAAGGTCTCTAGCTGTTTGGTATAACTGGATCCTGCATTTGGCCAAGTCTTCATCTCCAGTTCCTGGCTTTGGACCAGTGGCCTGCCATGTTGCCTCCTCATTTTAGGATTGTGCCATTTTACCTGTCAATCTTGGGTTCATCAGCCTCAGCAGCCAGCAGCTGCATGAGGTAGAAGCCTCCAGTTTGCTCTTGGAACAAGAGGCATTGCTAAAGCCCAAAGTCAAGGGACCTCAACCCAGCCCCTAAAGCTGACACTCTAGGCATTTGACTGCTAACCAGAAGGTTGGCAATTCAAACCCACCAGCCACACTGTGGAAGGAAGACTGGGCAATCTACTTCAGTAAAGATTTACTGCCTTGGGAACCCAATGTGGGTTGCTATGAATCGAAATTGCCTTGATGGTGGTGGGTTTTGTTTGGTTTAAACTGTAAGAGAATAAATCTATTTGTTAAAGTCATCCACTTGTGGTATCTCTTATAGCAGCACTAGAGAACAAAGCCACTCAATGAGATGAATTGACCCAGTAGTTGCCATAGTGGACTTAAGCATGGCAACAATTGTAAGGATGGCACAGGACCAGGCAGTGTTTCATTCTGTTGTGCATAGGGTTACTGTGGGTTCATAGGGTTACTATGAATCAAAACTAAACCAGCAACAGTCTTGGGAGTCACATAGCATCATTTCTGCACAAGCCTCCCTATCAGAGGGAACATAAAACTGCACCACCACCACCTAGTCACATTTTAAGAACACATGGGGCCATAATAACTCAGATCCCTCCTAGATGCAAAATAAACTCTTCCATTTTCTCAGGACCTCCAAATCTCATCCCTTTGTAATAACTCAAAGTCAAGCCCGTTGTATAATCAGATCCAGGTGTGGATGAGGCTTCTTGGATATAGTTCCTTGAGTACCATTCCTCTAATGTGAAGATCTGTGAACTAAACAACTTTTCTGCCCTGTTTTCCCCAAATACAGTAATACAAGCATGATATCAGTACTATAGATATTCATTCAAAAGGGAAATGAAACTGCTGAGAAACAACATCCTTGAAATGCTCAAGCCCTGTTATTTAAAGGGCGAATTCTACAAAGCATGCCTTTAAGACTCTTAGCTTTTTGTCTGAAAAATCCTTTGAGGTGCTGTCTTAGATCTTTTGGAGATCTTGGACAAAGATTCTTACTATCCCACTCAGAACGTGATCTTTGGAATGCATTTCTGAATATGAGAACTTTTGTTTGCTGAAAAGACTGCTCCAAATCCTTTGCATTTCCCCAAAATTTCATTTGAGAACTGAATAATTTGTTCTTTATGTCTTGTTTCTTTTCGTTTTATTTTAGGCAACTAGAAAAAGCCAAAAGAGCAAAGCCATCTCTTTGAAGACTAAGGTGTACCTAATGCAAGCCATGGTGTTTTCAATCATCTCATGCATGTGAAAGCTGGACAATGAATAAGGAAGACCAGAGAAGATTTGATGCTTTTGAGTTGTGTTGGCGAAGGATATCAAAAGTAACATGGACTGTCCGAAGAACTAAGAAATCTGTCCTGAAAGAAGTACAGCCAAAAAGCTCCTTAGCTAGATAAAAGGAAAATGTAGAGGGGTGTCCGAGAATTCCAGTGGAATGGGTGACTAAAGAGCAAGGGGGAGCCAGTAAATGGGGATGAAACCACTCATTATTGGTGAGTCCTACTCTTGGATTGAGGGCCCACATGGAGGGGAAGGAGTTTGAGGTGTTAGTTGAAGATGGTGGACTCTAGACACCTCACCCTCTCAACTTGAGTTTGGGCAGGAACTGAATAACAAGCTGCATTCGCCCAGAAGTGGACCAGGCCCATGACAGTGATAAGCAACCGGAGAAGTATATTTTTCCCACCACGCCTCAGTGACCAAGGTAAGGGCTCCCCTAGCACCCACCAACCCTGTCACTAGGGACACCCTCTCTGTCACCCCCCACCCACCTGGTTTGCTCAGACTGCCTCCCTGCACCAGGGCCACCTGCTGCACAACACCTTCAGTGGATCAAGCCGTGTACCTACAGATTGCGCTCTGCATGCTCAGTGCCTGTGTGGTTGACAGGACACACACAAATGGGTCACAAGCCATGCCCTGCAGCCTCCACAGTTGGGAGGTGCATGCACGTGTGAACTGTGCACTAGGAGCCCTCCTCCTCCATGTTTGGGGGCACATGCATGCCAGGCTCCTGCCATCTCCATGGGTACGTGCCCCCTCAGATTGCACACCCTGTGCACACTGCTGCTATTTTCCTGGTGACTGGGGGCACATGCTCACATGGATCATGCAACAGCCAACAATGAGGCCATCAAATGTGTCCCAGTGGATAGGGTGCCATGTGCTTGCCACTTTAGACAACTTTGCTGCACCAAAGCAAAGTTTTTTTTCCTTTTTTTCCTTTTTTCCCCTTTCTCTTCTTCCCCATCCTCTCCTCTTCTGTTTTTTCTGCCCCATCTGGAGGAAGGCAGACATTGTTTCCCAATTAGTCGGCCACAATTACCACACTGACTATCTACCAGCCCAGCCAACAGGTGAGTGCCAACACCTGCTTCTGCACCACTGGATTAATTACAGATGGTGGACTACACCTGCTAGCCTTGTCCACAGCTGCTCTTCAGTACCAGCAAACAGAAATCTGTGCCCACACTCTTACCCAAACAGCAAATAGGTAGGGAGCTCCCCAGTGTTGTCAGACTAGTGACCAAAGTAGCACGCCTACCCCCTCCCCCACCATCTGAGTATATCAAAGCAAAGCAAAAAGCAAAAAAAAATAATAATAATAAATAAAAATAAAAATCAACAGATGTACAACAAATCCAAAATATCTCAAAGACAGCCATTTCAAATCAGAAACAAGATAAGATGGTGCAAGTACCAAAATAACCAGGAAACCTCCCTGAGAAAGAGCAGGTAATAGAACTACCTAATAAGAAATTAAAAAGATTTACATATAGGACCCAAGAGATTAAGGAAACTACAAACAAAATCAAGGAAAATAGAATACTCTCAAATTCAATAAAATTACAAGAGCAAAATGACAAAATAAGTAAATTACAAACCATACAAAAACAGCAATTAGAAATCCAGAAGATTAAAATTTCAGTGACAGTACATTAGAAGGACAAAAGATTCTTCAGCAGAAGAATGAGTAAATGAATTAAAAAACAAATCTTTGACACCAATTTTATGAGGCAAAATCAGAAGATGGGAAAAAAAAAAAAAAAGCCCAGGAATTATGTGGGACAGAGGAGGAAAAATTTACATGTGGTAAGAATCCCAGAACAAGAGGAG